CTGAATCTCTATTGATCATTCATCAGTAACTGGTTCTCCGGTCTCAGCACCTTCTTGATGCAGCTAGTTGTGTGAAATGAATGCAGGGGCTCTGTGAGCTAACATGGTTGGACCTGGGTCTGGGGACCCTGAACTGATCTACATGATAGCTGCCCAGTCCGGCCATGTGATGCTCTTATGCAATGCTCCTCCAACCTGCAGCTGGGGGAGAAATCAATGACACCACAAACCCCCTTTTCTTCTCTCAAACAAGAGCTTTTTAGTGACAACAGCCATCTTGGTCACATGACCATGGGAGCATCATGCACCCCCCCCCCCCAACCCCAGTGTCCACCAGCACCCCTCGCTGCAGATGTTGGGTCACAACATGTTTAATGAGTTTAATATTGGAGGCACAATGTTGCTCTTGTGTTGTTAAGCCTTCAACAGTTGTGTTCGACATCCACGATCACAAGACTTGGTCAAGGAACACAATGGCTTAATGTGCAGACAGTCTAAAGTGAAGATCAACTATTTGAATTGAGAGCCAAATAAAGCTGTTCATGAATTTATACTATATATTCGCAACAATTAGGTTTCATGGCACATACATGAGCATAAACACACACAGTTCACTTTGACAAACTTTCTATCCATTGCTGTTAGCACTGGAATTGTACTAACAGCCTCCAGCTGGTGATGAACTTTGCAAATGTTGTCATTTACATTGTGGGCCTGCAGGACTGCAAGAGGAAACAGTCCTGGCTTGTAATCCCAGTGAGGCAATGAGTGGGTTAAAATGTGATGTCAGTTTCCTTGAACCTGCCAGAGGATGTCACAGAATTGTAAGGAAATTATTAGATCTTCCATTTATATTGACAAATTGTCCTGCAAAGCCCCTCTATGCTAACTGGGAAAATTGTCTTTTTTAATTAAATTGTATAAATTTATTGGGGAAGAATTTATGTTTATTGTTTCTTAGGCGTTGTTTTTATCGCCTCTGATGCATGTGAGTTGTCTGTGTCCATTGTCTTCACTCCAGCTTCCAATGATCTTTTGTTTTCAGTATGATGTGAACTGACACCTGGTTTAAAACAGACTATCTTTGGCCTGTTGCTAAAATTGAAATGTGTTCGAGCTGCCCTTTAGCGAGAGTTAAATCTCTGTGAGAATTATCTAAAAATAAAATGAACAGTTTTATTAGTGTGGTAAGATCAGGGTTCTCTCCTTGAAGTGAAGACAGATCTGTGTAACAGTGCCAGCCTTCGGTAGGCTTCTGGTTATGCCATATGCCACAACAATTCAAGCAGTTCTTACGTAGCACCCCCACCACACACACACACACACACACACACACACACACACACACACACACATACATCTCCACCTCGATTGGGGCCAATAAAAAAAATCTAATCATGTATATTTTCAAGATTGCACACATAATGTGAGCTGTTAAAATTGCTTCCTAAATGTTATGTATGTAATGTATATGCATAAAGATACACCTGTCCATGTGATTCATTACGGCTTAATTGATGTATCGGCTGATACTCAATCAGATTATGCGCGCACGCACGGATGCTCTCTCTCTCTCTGTGTCACACACACACACACACACACACACACACACACAACACACAAACAAACACACGGGTCAAAGGCTACCGGTTGTCAACGGACGGCTCTGCGGCTTCATGACTTAACTTGACCAAACTAAACGCGTAAAACCCATTCCAAATCATGCATTGACTCATTTAGGATATATATATATATATTTTTAAATAATAAGTTTTTAATATGAAGTTCCTGCCGTGAGATTCACAGCATTTAAGTAGCTAAATAATGGGGAAAAAATAAATCTATTTTTAATCAGCCCATACAAGTTTAATCTCGAGGCAATATAAAGCGCTTTTGTTTCAAACTTAAATATTTTCAGAACATGAATCCTGTATCACTGTCAGGTGATCAGCCATGCTTATAGTGAGTATTTTATGTGCGGAAATAAAAGCATATAGACAACGAGTGTCCTTAATATCCAAAGGCCCTTTCTCCGTCTGTAGACGTGGGTGGGAGGCACACACTGTCAATCATCAACGCTTCATTGATCAAGGACAATCCTCGTCGTAAAACTGGTCTTTTTCTTAAGAAATCACTCACTCCGCATTAATTATCACTCTGTCTGTGTGTGTGTGTGTGTGTGTGTGTGTGTGTGTGTGTGTGTGCGTGCGTGCGTGCACAAGCACGTATTACTGTGCGTACTCGTGCGTGTGCAACCCAGCCACCTCTTCGACTATTTCACATTGCATGCTCTCACTCGAGAAGAGCCCATGATGAGATGAAATTCCAACACCCTCTGCTAAAATACAAGTTAGTATTCAAGCAAAGCAGCCGACCTTTTGTAAAATCTCACACATGGCAGTGCACAGTGAAAATAAGTGTCCACTGTGGTAAATGACATCATGGTCACACTGAGTAGACTCAAAAGACATATTCATTAAATTCAGCTCTGTGCAAGGAAATGTAATTTCAGAAATATATTCAATTTATTTTTTTATTAATGCAGATCTACGTTGGGGGATTTTAGGATATCAGCCTATAAAAGTTGTGAATTGATAAATAACACCAAGCCAGTTTGAGGTTTTATCTACCCCAAAAATAAATAAATAAACGTGAATAAATAAAGATTTGTATTTGTATTGTATTGTATTGTATCGTATCATCTAAAGTGCTTTAAAAAAATCTTATGTGGGTCAGGGGTCAGTGACACACATGAAAATGTGCTAATAATTTAACATACATCTCCTTTTTTTGGTCATAAATATTAATAGCCTCCTTGTATATTTTATTTCCCTGTGATCTGACAGTTAAATGAAACATTTACTCAAGAGTGAAAAAGGAAAAAGTTACTCAGTTAAATGCACAGTTAGTTGTGTAGAAAAAATAACCAAAGGAAAAGTGAATGGAGACAATTCTCTTCTTTATTATTCTTACAAAGCAAACATCAAAATTATATAATATTCTTAGAAAGTTGCAGCTATCAATTTACCAAAGAGGGCCTCTCAAAAGTATTTTTTTTTTAAACGTGATAGCAAAAAAAAAAAAAAAGAAATGTTAAAAAAAAACTGGAACAAACAGGTCACATAAACATGCAAGAAAGGCAGAAAATGTAAAATATTTTTTGGCTGCACACATTTATGATCATCTCCACATCGTCTTCATGCATCCATCTCGCCTGGCTCCATGTAAACATTTTACACCCCTAATGTGAATTTACCGACTAAAAAAGCCAGACCACAACTATTACAAACAGCATGCGACGCTATCATCCGATTAACTCAACGTCAAATTTTACATCAAACAAATTACACTGCTTTTTTTTTTTTTTTTACCGCACTAACCCCACTACGACAAACCTCATGCAGCCACACTTTAAAATGGTGAAAGACTCCACGCAGATTTTCTCCATTAAAGCGGACTTCGGCAGGGCGATCCACAACCGGAGCTTTCTTTCTTTCTTTCTTTTTGTTTTTTGTTTTCTCACGTGCAGCCTCTAACCTGGATTATTTCGAGTTTCACTTGTTTTCATAACTTTTCATAATGAGGAGGCATCGCTGGTCCGCATTTATCCGAAAACTAACCTCGATTATTTTAAATATCCAACCTATAATTTCCCCCCTCTCTGCAGTATTCCCTTTGATTCACGCTTGACTCATATGGCTTCAGGGCCAATAGGGGTCCGCCTTTGGGGCGCCTTGAAACCGTCTCTTCTTATCCCCTTTCATCATCTAACCCGGGAAGCCTTAAAACCGCAGGGCCAGTTATTGCTTTTTTTTTTTTTTTTTTTTTTTTCAGACAGCCCAATGCGGACTGGCCAACAGCCAATCAGAGCCTTGTTTACATTCTGTGACTGACAATGCTCTGGCCCCGTGCCAGCCAATCAGAACCGCACATACAGCGGGGGGTGGGGGGGTTCATTTGTAAACATTTAGCATAATGTAATAACCAAAGTCCATAGTAATAACATGAGAGAAATATTCGAATTACTGTCTTGTCTGCATGATTCAGTGTAGAGTTTCAAGAAATTGGCTTTGAAACCATTTGTCAAAAAGCCTCTAGAGGCTCTAAAGAAGGAAAAAATGTAGACAGAACTTCAGTGAGTGTTTGATGTGTATAAATGCCCTGAATTGTTAGCAAAATTCTTAAAGAGGAGGGGGTTTCAGTGACAGTTAAAAAATACACACCGACCTGTAACAGCGATTTATGTTGTATTTATTCAACACGATTTATATTTGGAAAACTGGTATATTTAATACTTAATCGTTTTTTTTATATTTTTTCTAGTGTCATTTTCCTTTTCATATTTCAGTGATTGGAAGTTTGTTGATTGAATCACTAGATCAAGATATAGGAAATATTTTACCCACTTTTTAAAGAGTTGAAAGCCAATACTATATCACTACAGCACATATCAATTAAACTGTACCTTTGAAAATAATTTTAATTTTTGTTTGGTTTCACATTATTAAGATTGTTATGACTACTGCCTATACAGCTATAGGATAATAAACACATTTTTTTTTTTAACTACCCTGCATTCTTCAGATGCGTTCAGTCTTAACGCTGTTGGTAAATTCCACACAGGCAGTGGATTTGGAGCTTTATCCAAGCACTGTAAGCTCAGTTTGGGTTTTTCTTAAAAGCATGCATAAATTCCTTACATTACGACGCTGCCTGTAGACATTTTATCATCTACCACGCATTTGAAGCTGTGCTCAGGCTGCACTGAGCTCTATTGTGAGAGAGAGATATAGACCATCCCGTGCTTTAAATCTGGCGCTTTTCACTCTGTTTAGCATTGCCAGTCACCACACCATTGGCCTCTGCTGCCGGCCAATCAAAACCTCCCGTATCTCCGGGCGGGCGGCACGAGCTCATTAACATGCAGGTATCCGACCAATGGGAGGGCGTGTTTACCCTGCCCTGAGACGCGAGGTACGCAGTTGCACCGGGAGAGAAACCGCTGCTCGGAGATCCGAGCCGCGATCCAGCCAGGCCGGAAGCCCTAGTCCCACTGCTTCCATAGACTGAACCAGAAGGCTACTGCACAGCCTCAGATGGAAATATTGTAGGATTTTCACTCTAGCCACATGGTTTATTTCAGATTTTGATTTTAAATGGGCGTCGCACTCGGCCCTCCTTGTGTTTTGTGTTTTTATAATTTATTGTTATGCAAGGATTTAACATACCAGTAAGTAGTACATTTTATATACTTGGTTTTTTTTTTTTTTCTCTTCTCCTTATTGAATAAAAATATTTTAAGGCCTGTTTCCTCGTTGTAAAAATAATAGCGGTTCAAAAGTTCAAAAAAAAAAAAAAAATGCTATTTGTGACATGCTGTTCATTATACACAGTGCACTGCTATAATTTTACAAAATAACCAAACAGTAATGTATGAGGTTTATGCTATGTGGAATAAATTGATGATTTAAGGCATTGAGTTTACACACAATTAATTCAACTATTATTATTTTCTTTAGTAATAATAGAAGTAGAATTAATACTAGTATTGATAATAATAACGTTAACAGTTTCATTACATTTTGACGTCAGGAGCATTTTTATAATTAGATAAAATATTTAATTATATCGACCGACGACTGGGGCTATTTGATGATGTTTTGTTTTTAATTATCCTCCGTTTTTCAGAGATGTGACAGGCTACGTATTTTCTACAACTGGTCTAGATTTAAGAGCCTTTGATTAACTGTTAAAATGTGCTTCTATTTTGTTGTTAACCTGTCTGTGGGGTGTAGACTATGGTGGTAGTCAGGTTGCGATTAACTCCAATCGGAGAATTTGCATTGAGAAGGTAGAGGACGGGTGGAGGGAGGGGGGTACGTCTTATTACTCACCCCGGTCGAGGTGCATTCCCTGCCGGCCAACTCATCCACGGAGGGCCGCCTGTCTCGCAGCGCGACGCGACCTATGCAGCCTAATTTGATTTATTATCTGCGTTTCTGCCTTCGATTGGATTGTGCAAAGGAAATTGACAGCTGCTTAATGAATTACATTAGGGGCGTCGATTATTTGAACGGTTTTAAAAATTAAAGCGTATATTTTGAGAGGGGGGGATTTAAGGCTAAAACGAAGGGGAAACAACCGTGGGGAGTTGCGCTGCTGCAATTAAATTCTAATGAATGTACATTTCGAACATTTACACAGCAGCAGCCTCTTCCCAGTCTCGTAAATGTTAAATAATTTTTTTTTTATTCTGAGGTTGTAAGTGGACACGGAGAGTGATGCAACAGCATGGCGAGGGGGAAGGTAGCCTAATGGCTGACTGCAAAGCACTTTCTCAGTGTGGAGACAAAGGCAGTCCTCCTGACGGGCGGCCATTCGCCTTGGATCTCTATACAGTCCACAAATTGAAGACTCAGCTATCATGCATGCAATAGCAAGGCTTCTTAAACGGTTTCACATTAAGGCGGCCACATGCATGCACACACATTAGCTCACGAAGCCTCAGTTGATCAGATTTTCTTTTCTTTTTTTTCTCAGGGAGCTCCGTGTGGAAGGATTTTATTGTTGTTGATGTAGCACTGAATTGTAGGCTAGGCTGTAAACTGGCTGCATGGGAAGATAATAGTGCTGAGAGTGAAATAGCACATATGATATACCTAAACATTCTTGCAAATTGTTGGATTTAGATTTTTTTTTTTTTAAATAATTAAATTTATAGTGAAAGTGTTTTTTTTTTATCTGGTTGGGGACCCCCTGCAACCCCTTCGAGAAACCCTGTAGGCCCCCCCCAGATTGAGAATCTATAATGTAAAATCAGACATATAGCCTAGTGTGTTAAGAAAATTCAGCCATGTAGTATTTATTCATTTATTTGAAACTATCAAATTAAGCTGCCCTCTGTTTGCCTGCCTTATTTTTAATTTATCACAGCCATCACAAAGCCAGAAACATGGGCTGTCACGTTTAGATGATTGTTGTAAAGACAAAAGCATATATTTTAACAGTGAAATTACGTTTTATTTTAATTGAATTGAATGGTTTTTCCCCCCCATCTCGACTATAGAATGATATTTTTGTGGCATGGCAGAGGATGTAGCCTATAATGTATTTACTACTCCATTTGATTACCTGACCTGAAATAGGTCAAGGCAGATGAAGACAGTGAGAGTGCAGTTATTCACATGCACACACGCACACACGGTTGCGCGCACACACACACCACTGAGAAGGAGGGAGGGGGGGGGTCTTTCAGGATGCATCTCTGTTATGGGTTTTAATAATATTCTTTTTAAATATCAAGCGTCTTGCTTTATGATTTGTTTCGAAACTTTATAAACTGACAGTACAGGTTCCTTGTGCCTGAAGGTCCGCAGATTGGTCGATGCATGATGCATTTTTTTGTTGCCAGTTTTATGATAAACTAACAATAATATATTTGGTATTTATGCCAATTTATATGTCAAATCATTGTAGTGCAAAATGTGCAAATAGTGTGAGGTGTAATGAGAGCTGGATGGATAGAGGCAGGGGGAGAAAAAACCGCCTGTATCAATCCGAGACAATAGGACGAGCAGGAGAAGGCAGGCACCGTTGTTCACCTTGAGATGTAGGCTGAGTAGGCTTCCATCATTTTTGTTCATTTTTAACCCATCCAAACAGGACAACACAATTGCTCCTCTAACGGACGCTTTTCTACATTGTTGCAGCAATCACGATTTTATAATTATATATATATAAATATATAAATGTTCCCAGTTAATATGCTTGCCATGGTTTTGGGAGAGAGTGACAGCTGGCAACTGCTGACGTGGTAGTTGAATTAATTGTTTGGGTAAAATATGAAGTGAGCATTATTAAATAGAAAGGGATATATACATATATAAACCTAGATAAAATAAGTGTCAATCTGCTCCTTGTGTGTGTGTGTGTGTGTGTGTGTGTGTGTGTGTGTGTGTGTGTGTGTGTGTGTGTGTGGAATATGAATGGCTCTTCTCCATATGATGCATATCAGGCCTATATCCCAGGCTGATCAATAGAGCTGAATGTGAGCCCGACTCAGTGGGTTTGTGAACGCCTCACTGGCTGTTTCTATCTGCGCTGTCTTATTTTGTAGCATCAGTTTTAGGTCGAACATAGTGATTTAAGCTCTATGCAAAAAGAAACCTGGATATGACAGAAAGGTATTACAGCAAAATCCAATGGGGCGGAACTAATGATTTGTTTTCTCTTCCATTTTATAGGAGTAGACTGCACTGTTAGTATTTTGCATCGTGTAATTTTTAAACCGGACCCTCCATTTGTCTTGTTAATGAAAAAAACAATGCTTTGATTTTTTTTTTTTTCCTCTGACAGAAAAGATGATCGGGGGCTACGTTTTTGGCTGGGGAAGCCTGCGATCGACTGAAAGCAACACATAGATCTGAAGGAAAGGATTATTATATGGGTTGCATTTGATTTTCCTGACCTGCCATATCCGGATTTCGGATTACTCAACATTCTTCGGGATGGAAGGACGGGATTTCGCTGCTCCGGCGCACCTCCTATCAGAGCGGGGCGCCCTGGTGCACCGAGCCGCCTCTCGGATCGCTCCCTCGGGCCACAGCTCTGTGCAGCATGCCGGTCACTTCCCGCCGGGAAAATATTACCCCTCGCACATACCAATGGCTCCCCACTCAGGTTAGTCAAACATCTACGTGGGCTTTGTCACACACAAGAATGTAGCGACTGAAATGTTGTTTGTTCCCATAGCGGCAACATACATCCATTATCTCAAAGCTGGCTGTTGTTTCAAATGCTCTCCTCATAATGTTGCGCCATAAAGCCTGTTCATTTATCAGCGTGAATAATAGGCTATGGCCCTGCATGTGTGGTGTGGTACAAAGCTGATTATTTTTGCACAAAAGAGGAGAATAGACGGGGCTTTCTGTTTTAAATAAATGGTTGCTCAGGTGTGGCTGTTGACAGAGTTTCACTATTCAAATATCAGCTAATAAATCAGGTGAAATTTGATTTACACTAGGCCCACGATCAGGAATTTTGATTAAGCTGAACCAACATTTATAGCTTAAATATCTCAAAGGTAATAAAGACATCTTAGTTAAACAAATAGCCGTTTGATAAGTTAGGTAAATGCCATGGTATTTAAAAATGGCATTTAAGATCTGTTGTAGCTTGCACTGTTGGAAGTTGGACAGGGGCACACTGGCACTGGTTTCCCATTGGCCCCTGGAGCTGAATTTGAAATGAGAGTTCGTCACTACACGTTACATTGATAAGCTGGATGAAGAGGTCTGCACGGGTTCTGGTGCATTTGGACGTTGTTGGAAGAAGAGCAATAAAAAAAAAATCCTCCTTCTATATTGAGCTTTAAAGTGTTGGGGTGCAAATGTCTTCACAGTGCATGCATCAGGTTTAACAAGTGACTTGGGTTTCTTGTGTACCCAAATGTGCATGTTTAAAAACACCAGGACAGACATTTGTGTCCACATAGAACAGTCAGAATATACTGCAACAGAATTATCTATACCAGCTGGCATATTTTTAAATTTTTAATTTTTTTAATTCAGGGGGTGGACACAATAAAAGCAGCACATGTACAGTCAAATGCGACAACTCTCTAAAATACAAAACCTTGGTGATGCTTCTAATGTTCAGTTTTTGTGGAGACTGTGTCACCTGGTTTATGATCATTCTGAGTTTATGCACTAGTTTATGTAGCTGCTGTGTGGGATTTAATTAAATATATAATGGTCTTCCTAATTTGTGTTCAGAAAAAGCCAAAAAATTAAAAAGAAAATAAAAATATATATAAGAAAAGAAAAGAAATTTATCGCACAGCATTGTAATGGGCTGGATCACAATATACTGTTGTTGCTTTTATTTTGTCCACCCATGGAAGACAAAAGAGATTTAAATAAGTCACAGCAGTGGCATTGATTGCATCAAACGGTTACACTTCTTAAACAATTTCCTTTGAAAATATGATAATATGGCTTGTAAAAACACATGTTTGTGATGCAGCAGCAGAGGAATCTTGGGTCACTGGAAAGCATTGGCATATTTAGCCCTTTTAAGTTATTTTATGTAACGTATATCAGCTAAATTTATCAATGTAGGTGGCTGTTGTAGGTGGCTAAATACAGTATCAAAGTAACCTCTGACAATAGCTTTTTCTGTGTTCTGCATTTATTTGTATTCTTTTTATTAAACAGTTCTACTGTAGGCTGTGTTGTGGCATGCTAATCAAACATATTTTTCAAATTCACTCTGTTTATAAAGATTCTGAATTAATTTACAAAATCATGCTAAACATGAGGTATAATTAGGCATTCAGGAGAATTCATGGGCGCCGTTCACCATTCATCTCTCACCATTCATGTTTGCTTTTGGCAGTACACACACACACACACACACACACACACACACACACACACAGTGCCTGGGTCCGTATGTTTTTTTTTCTTCTTATAGAGGTTTTGTTGAGAGCATGAAGGCTAATGCTGGCTACAGGGTACAGGTGCTCCCCCCAACCAGATCTGGTGTTTCTTTTGTAGTATTGTGCTGCACCAGTGTGAAGACCTACCCTCTAAATGTCATCACTGTTCAATGAGCAGCACAGGTGGTTTATTGTTCTCCCCAGTCTCGTCAGTAACACATGGGTGTGACTGGAGAGAAGTCTATCTAATATCCTCAAGATTTGGAAAATGACTTAATTCTTTGCACATCAGGTATTTTATTGAATTAATAATTTCACATGAGTTCACAGTATACCTAAATCCCCCCTAGGCCCCATTAAAATGATTTTGTTATTGTGCTCTGCTGATGTACAATCTTTGATTTATTATTTTAACAATATTTGAAAATGTCAAGCATGTCATAAAGCAAAGAGGTGGATGGGACATGAAACCTGATTCACAATTATTCATAGAATATATTTTTAAGATGGTAATTCATCAAACCAGCACACAATGCAAATTTATAATCCACGTGACACAAGAAAAAAAGAAGAAATAATTTTTTACCTCATACATTTTTTTTTTATTTCTTATGTCTACATTTAATATAAGCAAATTTATTTATTTATTTGATCACACTAGTTAAGTTAACGTTAATTTAAAAAAAAATTCTGTCAGTTTACCCAAATGAATACAGGCCAGTCACACTATGTCAGAGCAGTCAAATGCTGGTAGGTTGTCTGACCAAACAGGTCCCAGACTGTTGTTTGTCTTGACAGGGCAGGTCATTAGTGTCCCCCTCAAGTGTCCTGTATGCTAGCAACATTAGCACAACTGAGAATGTTGTTTGCTGTGTGCGTTGGATCCCTTCAGGTTTCCCTGCACTTTCCCCTGGGGACTAACTTGCACACTGGTTCACATGAATACTTTACAAAGAGCATGAATATTTCAGGGTTGATGTAAAAATGCATTCAGAGGAAGGTTTCTGATGTGGCTCCTTGAAAGGGCTCCTCTGACTTTGCAGAGGTATTTATTGTGAGTGCTCCCTTCACCCTCGCAGCTGAAAAGAGTGATGGCGGTTGCGACACCCTCCCTTGGCATTGTTCGCTGTCGGGTTACAGAATTTCACAGATTTTGGGAAGAAATTTCCTCTCTTTCTTTTGAACACACACGGGTGAGTTTGGTTGCAATTAGGTAACAACAGACGTAGACGCACACTCCTACCTTCTTGCCCACTGAACCATGTTAACTTAGAACCAGTGGAGGTTCTGTCAGTGTGCATTTGCCTCTGTCCATCTTCACCTACTACAAGCCAGTCATTTGTAATGCATGTCAGGTGGTCGATTTATAGTTTGCACTTGTACTGTGTTCTGGGAATGTGACATTGGAGCAACTTCTCTCTGTGTGCTTGCTGATACAGTGAGACGCAGACCTGTAAACTCATCTAATGCGGTTTAATTCAGCCAGTTCATTTACAAGGACTTTGAAATAGTAATCTTATCTTCTGCTGGCTCCGGTGTGGAGTTGGAGACAGTCTTCACTTGGCTGTGAGGCTGGGATTCAGATGTTGGATAGTGTCAAAGGAGGAGACACAGTGGAGCTGTCTTTACTGCTGGCATTTATGGCTGGGGGCTCATCTTTCAGCCATATTGTTCTGATCAGCGTGCTCTGGCTGAGGTGTGGCTGTGTGAAAGCAGCAGGGGTTCAGAGGCTGTCCATGGCTGAGCTCTGCTCTAAACACCCCATGTAATCAAAGGTCATATTTGTGTCATCTTGCTCACTCTGCCTCCCCTTCCTTTACATCTCCTCTGTCTCCCTTTCCATAAGCTGTCCTCTCTCTCCTCCCCTCCGTTTCTCGGTCTCCTTTCTTTCCAGCAGGAAGACCCTTGTGTCTGGGAAGCGGTGGTCTTCCTGCCACTTCTGTTTTAGCCACCCTCCCCTGCCCTAGGCCATTGTTGCAGACCCCAGCTTTGTGTGTGTTTTACGGCTGCTGTTAAAGATAAAAAACAGTCCCTTCCACCCCCTTTATTGTTTTCTGGTAGGATGTCCCTGTCATTCCCTTGGTTTTTATGTCCTAGCTGGATATCCGAGCAGCTTCCCCCTTCAAAGGTTAGCTATGCTGTCTGCCTTCTCCCATTTTTTTTTCCAAAGGGGAATAAATAACTTTACTGAGACTTTTATTGAACGTCTCATTGCTGGAATATCCCATGGGTCTGTGGTTGTTAGGAAGACGCTTCAAAGACAAACACAGGTGTTTGGTGGAGTTAGCAAAGGGCTGGTTACAACCAGGGTCTTTAAAAGAATAAACCTCAGTGAGTGGCTGAGGGTTGTTTATGGGAAGGGAGGCTTCTTCTTGGCCTTGTAGCTCTTGTGTTGTGAGCACTCACAGTTCGTACCTTCCTTCCCTCTGGCTTTACCTACCCCCCATCCTTGTTGACCCCAGACAAGAGCATTGGCTGGAGTGTGTTGCGTGCTCAGCATAATTATTTAGCAGCACAGCAACCAGAACCACTGAAAGCCTGCAAATGTCCTTTCCTTATAGATTGAACGATTTTGGGGATTTGGTGAGAGAAAATTCAACAGGTGAGCCTTACCTGCCTGAAAAGAAAACTGCTGTGTTGAATAACCCATCCTAAATATGACATTAAAAGGTTACTTGTATCGGGGAGCCACCATGGTGGAAGTACAGTGACAGAACGTGGGTCTTAGGCCAAGTTCCATTTGGCTCAGGCATTGTGCACTCCCTCTCTCTTTCGGTCCAGCTCTGCAAAACAGAGTGAGAAGCTTGGCCTGTGGTCGGGCTCGTTTGTGGATTGTTGTGAGATGACATGGTTCAGACGCAATGTCACAGGAGTTCCCCTGAATGGTGGAGGTGTTGCTTGGCATTGTACACCTGGCTGAAACACCACCTTGCCCGGTGCTGCCGCCATCTGTCAGGTTCTCCTGACACTCCCACTGAAACCCAAATGACTTGCAAGGGCAGTTTTAAAGAGCAAGCAAATACTAGGGTAACATGCGCTCACCTGGATTCAGGCGTCGGTATCATTAGAACTCTGGCAAGCCATTTTTGGTCACTATTGGATAACAGATATCCAATAACCAGTCATCAAAGAATAAGTAACAGCATCTGGAATTCATTACACTCAGATAACTTAAGTGACAGAAAAATTATATAATCGGTTGCTTTTCTTTGCATTTCTTTGCTCATCAGCAAAACTGTCC